TCTATAACAGCCTTTATGTCAGGTGCACTGCCCTGACATGATACTTCTACGACTGTTGCAACAGTGACCGTTGAACTACAAGCACTTGAAGTTAACTACACTTTATCGGAAGCACTTGCAAAATGGTGTACCTTTCAGCCTGGATCTTACGCCTTTTTGTAGAGCTGGAGTTCACAGATCTAGCCGCGCGCTTTCGTGACACTGAAGCCATAGGACGAATTGAAAGCATTGAGTAAGACGCGACATACCAAGTTGGACGCGCCTGGCTACATGGCACGTGACCTATTAGTGAAATTGAGCTTATGTGGTCAGACTAAAATTCATATATTATATTTGAGTCGTTCAGCGCTGCAGTTTGAATTCAGACAATCGATTAACGATGCATTGAGGTATAGGCACAATTTCAGACTCTAACAGCTCTAACTACCAACTTCTTCCCAAGAGATATAAACCATTTCATTGTCCCGCCTTCGCCTTGCCCCTTCTGATCCTTTGTGTGCGCGCAGTCGTATTATCGCTTGCTCCTTCTGTGTGCGGTTTTTCTGCGTTTGGAAGCAGCTTCCCGCGTCCGCGTCCACTTCCCCCTCCACGTCTCCCTCCTCCCGCATTCCGAGCTGGGCCATCGCCCGCGTCGTCCAGGCGATCTACCACATTCAGCCCCGGCGTTCCACGCAGACCCATCATTCCTACCGTGCGCTTCGCGATAGGTGGCGGGATCCATGTTGCCACTGCATTTCCACCCCTTGCGCCTCTTTGCGCTGGAGCACCACTAAGAGTACTAGGTCCACTGCCGACTTCCGTCACACTCGGCCACCCTAAGCACTGCGCCCATACCGCGCCCTGTTCCACCAATTCCGTAGGTGACCATCGCAGCTGCTTTAGCCAGGACTTGTAGAACCCAAGCCAAGCGGAATATGCTTGACCGATGGAGCGGTCATCCAACTTAAACTTCAAATTACCGGTGTGTTCAAGCTGTGTGTAGGGCTTTAACGGAAGCGAGGCGATCTCTGGCAGCCGTAAAAAGAACTGTTCATCCGGCATGAGGATTAATATGCCTTCACCAGCAGCCCCTGCGCGTGCGGTTCGGCCGAGGCGGTGAATGTATTGTGCGGGCGAGCTAGGGAGGGAAAGCTGGATGATGTGTGTTACGCTGTAGGATAATGTCAGCACACCTTGCGATGAAGAGAAAGTAGACTGCAGGGCAAGATATGAAATAAAAATGATCAATAAAAAATGATCAGACAACAGCATGATTGTTTGGCCAACGAAGGGACTGAGGATACTTTGAGATTTGATAGGAGACCCACCTCGGAAAATCCATCCCTCTTGCAGTCACATCGCTGGTAACCAAAATCGCACCCTCCGGGGCATCGCGGAACTCCTGTGCGGCACGTGTACGCGCAGCCTGTGACATACGGCTTTGAATCTGGTAGATTGGGGGAAGCATAGATTGTGGTCCAGCAGACACTTGTTGCAAGACACTCGCGACAACGGCCGTTCCACGTGCCGTTGTACAAAACAACATTGCTTTTGCTTGCGGACCCGCCTGCTTGAGGAGGGAAACAAGTGTCGGAAGGATGTCTTCGAGGGGCGTTATGAGGTAACTCTGGGGAACTATGTTACATATGTGTCACTTTGTTATTTCATTGATATATTATGGAAAAGATGCACACACCATGTTCGTGTGTGTTGATCTCGTCCGCGTGGAGCGTAGATATGAATTTATAATTTGGATCTAGGTAAATCTTTGCAATCTACTCCCCAAAACGATCAGTGCCTGTTATTCTTACACAAAAAATCCACCCACCTTCTTGATCGCATTGTCAAAAGTTGCAGAAAATAGCATACATTGTCGCCTTGTTCCCCGTCTATCAGGCAAGAATCCCAGAATGCGTTCTAGATCCTTGCGAAATCCTTGATCGAGTAGCCTATCTGCCTCGTCCAGAATGAGCACAGTTGGGCGGAGGGCGAGTCCCGAAGTCAGATGGTCGAGGAGCCGACCGGGAGTGGCAATTAGGATGTCGGCGCGAGCGGTGGGAGAGTTAAGACGGGTTTTCTCTGTGTTTATGCTGCAAGTGTTAATATACATCATGATATGCGGCAAAGAATGGGAAAGAATGCCCACTTTGTACCTCCGATAACAGACTGCACACCGTATGGGTGGTGTGCAAGAAGGGACATTGCCTCTTCCTCGATTTGAAGCACCAGCTCCCGTGTAGGCGCTATAACAAGAATCTTGCCCACGTCGGAGGAAGCTGATCTGGAGGAGGCAAGCCGCTCTATGGCAGGGAGAAGAAACGCTGTAGTTTTCCCTATGCGTAGGGTTCAACAGTCTGGGAGTGAACAATCTAATCATACTACACACCAGTTCCAGTTTTGGCCTGCACGAGGAGATCGATGCCCGACAAAGCATCCTACAGTGTACAACCATCAGCTTAGTAGACCGATTATCGATGCCACCCACTTCAAGTGTGGCGTCTGACATGTGCTACTGCATCAACTCAGCTGCATTATATAATGTGCATGAGACTGACCTTGTACATCTGTAAGAAACCTACGCGACGTCAGCATGTGGGGGATCGAAGACTATGGGACGTACTCATGTCTGATTCCAGCCTTGGATAGCTGTGAGATGGGTGCATCTACAAACCGCTTCGAAGTGAAGTGCTTTTTGTCTGTAGTCATGACTGTAGATTCTGGACTTGTGCTGTGGCTTGAGATAGGTACGCTATTGAGAACAGGTAGTGGTGAAGGTTGAATGCGAGGTTTGATGGCGGTCATTGACACGTGTCGGGGCAAGTGCGTCCTTTGTACTTTCAAGTTATTCATTCGAGTCGGTCGAATAAAACAATGAACTTGAAGTCTAGCAAACATATAACACAACTGTTTGTTCTTCAGTTTCGATATATATCCACACAACAAAAGCCCTTGAAGTGAAGTTGTCTCAATTACTTTTGACCTCGTAAATTTGCTTCCGGAATCCGCGAGGTTGTCGAAAATAACGCGTGTCTAAGACGCGTTAACGCGTTTAAGCTTTTGCTTACTAAACCATTTTAGGCTGCGACTAAATGAGCTGGCATAAGGGAGGGCACCACTCCTGAACTCCCTCATTTAACTAGGGATTTACAGCCAGTTGATCAATGGCACCCAACGTCACAGTATTTCTCCCATTCTTCCACGGCGACGGTCTGCAGCATCCTCTAAGGATGTCATTGTCATTGTTAAAAATGATATGATGACAACTCCTGGACTTCTAAGTACGGCCGCTCACCGGGTCCTTGTTTTCACTCCATGGCGTTGTTGTGTAGACATCGTATCCAGCGGCTGAGATTCCAGCTCTGAGCTGGAGAAAACTGGGGATTAGTACCTTGTCCGTTTGACTATGATCAACCAGCTCACAGACGGAATTTTTGCATTTTCGACGACTCAGGAGCCCTAGAATATGTCAGTCCCATCCATCGCCAAGAGTCATCCGTCCATTACCACTTCGAAATATAAACAGGGAATGCACCTCAACTCGAGTGTCTACAATTAACAGATGCGAGACGAGTCAGTAGTTGTGTCCATTTCCAATCGTGAAAATTGGACTGTCCTGCCAATCGTAGCTTTCAACGCCGACCACCAGTGATTGAAGAACAACCTGACGCTTGTTGAATGCGTGAGTATCACATTTACAACCTTTCCGATGTATGAATCGGCAACCGTGGAGCAAATTGCTCGTATGACGGTAAATATCTTGTCTCTCTCTCGACAACCTGTATTTGCTAGATCATGGTATCTCCTTGATGAAACAAGCCTATTTCAAATTCGGAATGATACTGTGTAAAAACACCCACGGTTTTGGTTGCGATCGGCCATAACAGTTCTTCACTAATCCAATTGTCTCTTTAATCATTTCTTCCATGCATATCGTACCTCCAGCAAATTCACTGGAAGTGCGCAGGTCTGCAGCAGAGTAATCAATATACAAACCTAGACGTGAGTTTCGATATGAAACCACACGAAATCGCATACGACCAGAGGCATAGACGATGACGTTTGTATTAAGACTCCTGAATGTCGAAATAATTGACATGGTTGTCGAGTTTCAAACTGTTGATGGGCCCTGTGGTGTCTGAGCGTAGATTCACCATGATCTTGAAGAAAATCCAGCAGAAGTAGAAGGGGCCGACCTGTCCAAGAGCTGCCTTGCCCAATTCAAACAGTGTTTTAAGCACGAGTTCGGACCAAATCGAACCCTTGGAGCTCCTCAGCATGAAAGGCAATGCGGAGGTTAGATCCTGTTGGATTGGATTACCCATAAGCAGTGAAAACAGATTGATTGAAAACCAAGTATTCCTCGCATGGACATAGACGTGCAAGCATAATATAATCTTCTCTTCTCAAGAAAGTCGCAATTTGTTTGTATGGTGTCAGTATGCGTGGCAGAATGGTAAACCAGCAGGTTCAGCGCTCAGCTTTGATAGGCCAATACAATTTTCTACATTTGACCAGATGCGCTAAAGGACCTGAGCGACCTGAATAATGCTTTATGAGCACACACGCATTGATGTATTCGCCCTCTACAAGTAAGAAACATGGTCATATATGAAAGCCTAGATATGACGAAATGAGCACTTGTTAGATGGTTGAAGAAACAAAAGTCGGAGCCGCGATAATACCTATCATAAATTGGATATAGGAAGAGGAACACGCTATGCAAATACCAATGTCAAGGCCATCGTGTACTCGAGGCTGAATCGCACCTGTAGATGCGTCAGTGGCGTCAGTCTCTGCAAGTGCGCTACTAGTAAGCAACCTAGTGTGGTTCCTTCTGAACTTCGGGACGCCACAACACAAACAACTAACAATAGATGGAGCGTGGGAAAGGTCTGCAGCCTCATTGTAATGGTCGCGTTTGCTCAACGCCCCAAACGCAACTCATTCATCCATTTCAACCCTTTGTCATCACCTTCGTCGTCGTCTAACCCAACGAGCACGTTAAATTGCACATATTCAAGATGTCTACAACCAGGTTGCACCATCACCCGTCTCTTCCCGCCCCCGTCGTTCACGCTGGCTTCTCCGCCCACCAGTCCAAGTCCCATGTCCTCGCCGGTGTGCAGGACGCGTATTGGAGTGACGATGACGCCGTAAGTCTACTTTTTTTGTTAATGATCACATAAAACGTTATTCATCCATCGATCCCAGGATGATGCAGATTGTCCGCTTTGTCTTGAAGAGATGGATATTTCAGACCTTAATTTTAAGCCGTGCGTCTGCGGGTACCAGGTATATTCTCTCGTTCATCAATTATTAGGTAAATGTTCTCAGCCGCATGTAGATTTGTAGATTCTGTTGGCATCATATCAAGCAGAATCTCAACGGCCGCTGTCCCGCTTGTCGCCGTGAGTACACCGACGAAACTGTTCAGTTCAAACCTATTGCGAAAGAAGAGTGCGTCCCGCCCTCGCAATTTACTTCACAAATTCAATATAGGCCTTCCTGGCGTGTTATAGCCATAAACGCCTGACCCAGCAGAAGAAGCAACGTGAACGCGAGCGCAAAGAACTTGACGCCCTTGGTAGGCGCCATCTCGCCAATGTCCGCGTCGTACAGCGCAACGTTGTATATGTCGTCGGTATTGGTCCTCGATTTGCGAAGGAGGAGGTATGTTACACTTTTGTCTAATTAATTCTTGGCTCATCCAATAATCCTCTTCTTCGACGTAGCTTATCCCCACCCTTCGCTCGAATGACTATTTTGGGCAATATGGCAAAATCTCTAAGATTCTACTTGTCAAGCGTACATCATCAGGGGGTGGTGCGCCTATTGTAGGACTCTACATTACGTATCATCGGCGCGAGGATGCCGCACGTTGCATCTCAACCGTTGACGGTGCCCCAAGCCCAGGAGGAGGCCGAGAGGTCATGCGTGCCAGCTATGGGACGACCAAGTACTGCATGGCGTTCCTCCGTGGCGTATCATGTACTGATCACACCTGTATGAATCTGCATGAATGGGGAGATGAGAAAGACTGTTTTACCAAGGAGGATCTGACAACGCTGTACGTGTGGATTCTCAAAACGTTTTTATGACGTCTTAACCATTTCCAGGAAGCATACTATCAAGGACACAGAAAGCAGGGGGACCAAAACTGGGGATGGTATGTCGTGATCATGCAATTATTCCTGTCTTACCCACACATTACCTCTTCCAGGCCTCCCGCGCACTGCAGCATGGGCTAAACCTGCCACTCCGACGCCCAGCAGCACGATGCCCACTGCTACAGTTGCTCAGCGTCCCCGGCGTGGTGGTCAGCGGCAGGCGCGTACACCACGCCCACAGCATGATCGCAAGGTTGGTTCAGGCGGTGGAGGGAGTACGAAAGCACCCTCCATCGCGTCTTCGTCTCGGCCCCCGACGCCCGCTGTCTCCCCGCGTCCCCCGACGCCACCTGAGGTCAAGACTCTCCGGGCCAAAGAACCGGCACCGCTTCCGCCGACTTCGCCCTCACCGTCAATGGCAGTCGACTCGGATGATGTAGGCTCCGGTAGTCAGGATGTACCACAAAGTCCGCCGCGCCCACGCTCCACGGAGAGTGTGGACAGTATACCGGCTGTACCTATTTCTCTGCCACCAGGTTTACCAGATGCCCCACCTGGTCTCCCGCCTCCGACTCGTACAGCTAAGGCGGAGTCCGTTCCTGCGTCAGGTCTTCAAGCACTACAAATGTCTGGGGGAAGCTATCAAATGTCCACCGCTGCACAAGCGCTACTTGATGACGTCAAAGCGCGTCGCGAGGCGGTGCTTTCGAGCACACAAGTAAGCGTCTTTCCCGATTTTGATCGCACGCTGCGTATGCTCTCGGGGAGCGAGGGTGGGTTCAGTTTCAATCTGGACCCAAAGCTTGCAGATGTAAATGTAAATGCGGAGGGAGAGGCAGTATTAAGTGCGCTTGAAGCGGAGGCTCGCGTACCTTTCGCTGGTGGCTTTATGGACGCATTCCCTGCGCTCAAGCCACAAGCACACTCTCACACGCATCAAGTGCCAACCATGTACCCTCATAACCCCGCCCGCTCCATTTATGACCCCCTTACGATGCGCGAGAGCTATCTTGGGCCATTTAACCCCTTCGGAGAAACAGAAGGATCCTCGACTAGTGGTGGTGCGCGCAGTTCGCCGTCGTACCCCGATGAAGAACGGAAAGTTTCAAGATTTGGATTCGCACGGGGGAGGCAAGGCTCAACAGCTGCGAGCTCGCCCGTTCACGTGACATCGCCATTGAGTGCGAGTGATAGCCATCACTCGTTTTTCACGGCTTCGGAAACTCCTGCCATGACATCGTCGCATTGGAGTCATGGAGGACATGGAGAGTACGCAGGATATGCCACCAGTTCTCCACTTGTGCAGCAAGCGCAGACAGTGCAGTCGCCCCCGCAGCAGCACGCGCAGCCACAGACACAACCGACACGCTTTCAGCCATTCGACACGAGTGTGAGCGTGAGTGAAGCCCAGCTCCGTGAGCTGATCCAGTCGAGCAGGGAGCGTGCCGGCTCGATGCAAATGCATAACGCTACAGCTGGTAGGAGACTTCTGTTTGTGTAAGCCGCTAGACTGCGCATTGACGATTTTGTCTTTCTTCATTTCACTTCACTTTGCTCTTTTGATTCATTGTCGTTCACGTGTATGATTCTTGTATGACAATGCTGTCTATGTTTTTTGCATTTTTGTTTTCAGTTTCAGATCAACCTCAGTACCAGTTTGCGCCTTTCAGTGACCCCGCAATCATGTCAGCCCGTTTCGCTTCGCCCGTATTATCCTCCGCAAGTCTGTCGTATGCTGGTACACCAGTAATTGCGACCACAGCACCAGCTACTACAGCCACACACGGCCCCCCGCCGGGCCTAGCATACCCAAATAGTGAGTCCCTTTCTTTTGTTCAGGGGAGGGAGTCCCAGGTCAGAGTACCGAGAGCCGTGCTTGCAGTGCGCAAATTCTACCACAGGCCATGAGAGCCTCCGGGACCTTCGCATTCGGCCAACATTATTTCGATTCTCCCCTTCTGTCCCCTCCTTTTCCCCTCCCCCGATGGTTTTAGCCTTGGTTAGATGCATGCTGACTAACGGTTGTTTCCCTCCTCTTTTTCTTTCAACCATCTGTTCGTTCGCCAACTTCGCTTTTAGTCACTCCTTCAGTTTCGTCCTCACCTTCGCCAGTCCCAATACTGTCGTCTGCTGATTTTCCCGCCCTGAACGCCGATGTACTTCCTACGCCTGATGCACAGCCTGCCGAGACATCATCTCCCGCCGAAGGTAGTAAGGAACAGGCCAAAGCAGAGCGCAAGGCGGCAAAAAAGGCGGCGGCGGCGGAGCGTGCGCTCGAGCGCCAGAAAGCAGCCCAGGAGAAAGCAGCTGCAAAGGCCACTGAGAAGGCCCGGATTGCGCAAGAGAAGGCTGTGGAGAAGGAGAAGCTGGCGAAGGAGAAAGAAGAGCGAGAGAAGTTAGTACGGGAGAGGGCGGAAGTAGAGAGGGTAGAGAAGGAGAGGCAGGCACAAGAGAAAGTGGCTGAGGAGGAGACGGAGAGAGCTCTCATAAAAGAGAAGGAGAGGCAGGCCCTGGCTGAGAAGACTCAAGCTGAAAAAGCAAGGGCAGCCCAGGTCAAGGCTCAAAAAGCCGCCAAGTCTGCATTAGCGATCAAAGCCACGAAGTCTGCAGGCTCCTCTGGCCAGGTGCCTGCTACTCCGACTGCCAAGCAGTCCCCCGCTCCATCTAAGGCATCTGAACCCGTGGAACAAGCACCCATACTGTCCAAGATGCCGAAGAAGAACAAACCCGTCGCTCGTCCAATCAAGGTCCTGAAGGAGGATGAGATTGCTCTTGGAAATGCGTCGGCTGCACCATCGGTTTCGGTTTCAGAGTCTGCGAATTTTCCACCTTCCAAGACCACGAATACAGTCGTCTCTAGCTCGAACAACTCGAGGGCACAGTCTGTGGACACGTCCTCTCCTGTGGAACCTGCCTCACTTGCTGATTTGCTCGACGACATTGACGTGAGGAATCCGAGCATGGATCTTCCCAACCATCCCTTCTTTGACATAGCAAAGATCAATCCCGCTGCCAAGATGCCTCTTGAATATGGTCCTCTAGTGCACGCATTGTCTGCCCTTTCTGTAGGTGGAGGATCATTTGCTACCAACATGCCTTCGGGTTCCATCGATAATGCCGTGTCTTCATTCCAACAACTGTTGGAGACACTGACACAGACCATCTCCGACCTCCTCCGCCTGCTTCCTCGGACGACGTGGGACGACAGCTCTTCATTTGATGGTGTGCTTCGTGACATGCTCAAGGGTGATGATTTCTTAGACGACGGCGGCGATGATGCAGCTGGCAAAGAAGACGAAGTTGCCGCGTTGACGCTCGCCCTTGAGCGTCGAGCTCGCTGGATGGAAGTGCAGCTATCCAAGCTCGAGGAACTTCATCGTGACATCAACACAGCTGCGGTACGTGCCGTCCTTGCATTCAATGACAGTGGCTGGGATCGTCACATATTCATGCCTCGGGTTGGCAATACCCTCCGCCGCTTCGACAATATTGGTATGATAGAGCAAAGTGGCAAGATGAGGCCGATGACAGTGGACGAGTTGGAGAAGAAGCTGCAAGTAGCCAAGGAAGCTGCCATATTCGCGGAGACTGAGTTCCGAGAGGCGATGGAGAAAATGCAAGCTGTGAAGCCCGTGGAAGTTGACTACTGAGTAGACTAGCAGGAAATCATGCGGTAGTTTGACTGGTCGTACTGAATATACGATGAGCATTTGGCTTGCACGTAAAAAGGTGTCAGAGTGATATCTGTCACGTGCATCGAACGCGTCTAGAATATGATATTGGTATTGTGCGGCTGACCATGCATCTCGAGGTTATCGTGTCGAGGTAATTAATCACCACTTCAGCTTATTGGCAACCCACCAACTGACACCATGGCTGGCCACAGCACACAACGCCAAAAGCAACTCTCTCGGCTTGCTATCATCATCATTGTTATCCTGTTCGCTGCTGTGCTGGTACGCCAGCTATTCTCGAAACCAACCCTTCGGGATCAACACCCTCGTGCGCGCAGTCCTCATACCTTGATCCAGGGACGCTGGAAAGACGTGCGGACGTCACTGGGCTTACCTTCTCTTCCTGACACCATCAACCAACCGGCTGCTGTTCTGCCCCCGTCAACATCACATCGCACAGGAAAGCTCCCCTCGCGCTTTGATCTCCGTCGGAAGCGTGCTGAAGCAGACCTTCGGAGTCAGAACAGGCTTCATCTCGCTACTGACGTGAGAGATGCACCCCGCGTATCAGTGCAAGCACTAGCCGCGTCATTCCGCCGCATTGCGGCAGCTGAGAAAGAAATAGCAGAGATGCGAGGCAAACATGAGAAGTCGGGACAGAAGATACGGGTCCAAAGACGTATTGAGGACTGGCAGGACCCAACAAATGCAAAAGACGTATTGACTACTGTCACGAATGACTAAATGATACTCGTTGACAATCGTACCAACAATCGAGTAGACATTATACGATTGACAATGTATGACAGCGATTACCATTCATCCTTAGCCGGAACAGCCTCCGCGCCATCATCTGTTTTGCTCTTCATCCATGCAACGAAATCATCGAGTAATGATGGCCAAGCCTACGGGATTTAGTATACGCATGGTTACCACGTAGTATGAATCTGATGTAACGTACCCCGTCAGCCTCGTAATTAGACAAGGAAGGGTCCACAACGCGACAGAACTCGTGGACCTATCTTGTATCAGTACGTCATATGCCTGACGATGAAAGGACTGACCATATTCCAAATGTCTTTGTTTGCACCTTTATATGTGCCTTTCACCTGCATATCAAGATTAGCGATATCCAAGGCAGGGGTGATGGCGACGTACAGGCAAGAAGGTGATCAAATCGTTGACGATTGGATATCGTGGAGCAAGGAGTACTGACCACAACGCCATAGCTGTCTATATTGGTAATGATAAGATACATGCTTCGCCGCGGACGTAAGGCTCCTGACCTCTAAGTCGATGTTTCGTGCTTGTCTAATATGGATTATCGAAAGGATTGCCTTTCGGAGATAGCTAAGAACTCACGGTGGCTTCGCAAGTGTGAAGCAAAACTGATAGAGATCTGCGAAAGCAGCCTTGCGGTCAGAAGCATACTCTCTGTAACGAGTTCGGTTGTAGGGCTCTTTTGTGCTCGCACCGCCACGCTTCTTCGCTTGACTCGAGGCAGAAGCCGAGCGAGTAAGCGCCTCCTTATCACGAATAAGAAGGTCTTCAAGCTCTCTCAAGGCTTGAGCTAGAACTGGTAATGAGGAGATTCTGGTGGACTCATTTATGAAATCGCAAAGCACAAATAAACGATGAAGACAACTCACTCAAGTAAGCCCATTCCATGCGACCATTCTACCCTGGTGAACTTGGCCATTTCGCTACCCTTTAGCTGCCACGCAAGGATAAGGGGCTGTGCACCATCAAGCGGTATGTCAGCCTCCGTACATAATTTTTCCAGTCCCCCTGGTCCAATCACATCGCTGTCGTCTTCATCGGCAAATGAGTTAAACAGAACTTGCGCCCGCTGAGGGGTGTACGGTTCGGTGGGGGCTTCTTGGGATTCCTTGGGCTGAGGAAATAGAGAAGTAACAATGACGTCAGAGGCGTGCAGAGTATAGACAATGGTTACCAGTTGCACGTACCGCCACCTTGTTTGTCTCATCTACTTCGTCGCTGCGAGCGGGCGTGTTAGAGACACAGCACAACAAAGACGACAGGCGCATGAAGGAATGTCGTGAACGACGTGAAGGTTGAGTCGTGAGATACGATTGATCCGTCGTGGCCGTGAAGATTGAAGTGTAACTAAAGGCAGACTTACTCGTTCAATGGAAACCTAATCGAGGTGAGTTTCTGCAAGTGATGGAATGGCGTTATATAAAGTTGGGAAAAGGATGTCTGTTGCAGGCTTACATCATCATTACTTCTTTCGTGAACGTGGCGAACAATTTGGGCGTAAGGAGGCCTTCTATGAGTTCACTACAGCATGCAAGGGCCGGAAGACTCACGCAATCGTCGTATTTGCGCAACCTTTGGTATTAGTTGATTTTGTTGCTCTTGATGATGCTTTCGTTCCGGTGTTTCTTGTTTTCTTTTGAGGTGAAGCCACCTGCGGAACAGTGAGTGGTAAAGGAGTGCCCGGGCAAACTGGCGCACATCTACATCCTCCGCATAGATGCCTTTTCCAACCCTGCTCATAGCCTTTATTATCATCGGGACGAAACGTAGTGGGAAGACAGCACGCACGAAGCTCCAGCACTGGCTATGCTTGTCGTGGCGTCTTTACCTCCACATTGGATTTCAATTCGTCGGACTGAGGTCATTAGGATTATGGGAGCCTACCGGTCCGCGTCGAACTTCGCGTTGAACGAGTTGCAGGAGCCCCTTGAGTGTCCGCATCCACACGTTTTCGCTGATATTTGGCTGTGTCAAGGACGAATGAGTTTGAGAGTGAACAAGACTTGCTTTAGGTGGCATATCTCTGTAAGAAAGCCAGATTGGAGAGACAACGGAAGAGAGCAAGCGTTTAAAGGGTAAAGGCAAAGGGAATTATTGGCGCGTTCTGGGCGCGTCACACTTTGTCACGACGACACGTGACAATGTGAATGAATGCTGGGATATCAAGATCTTTCATAAATCATCTTACCATGAACGGAGAAATCTTTAACGCCAATCCAACTGTCTATGCTTCCAAACGCTCTGCCCGGAAATCGAAGTTCGAGGCAGGGCAGTCACTATGGATTGACGAACAGTACCAGCCCGAGCTCAGCAGCGAGTCCGAAGTGGAGCCTATTGACGAGGATGAGATATTTGGTGGGTTTCAAGCCTTCTTAACTCCTAAACTCATTCAAATCACACACATTGTTACAGACTTGATCCGCTTTATTGCAGATCCTGAGCATCCTAATTCCCTTGAAGAACTCAGGGTAGTATCTGCAGAGCAGATCAAAATCGGCGACAATCACATCATGGTCGAATTTACTCCCACCGTACCTCACTGTGGGATGTCGACGTTGATTGGTGGGTGCTTTTACAACGTTTTAAGAATATCTCTTGACCAATTGCTCAGGGCTGTCCATCCGTGTGCGACTGATGCGAAGCTTGCCTCAGCGTTTCAAAGTGGATATTCGAGTGAAACCAGGATCACATCAAAGTGAACTTGCAGGTTAGCAGCCGATCTTTTGTCCCTTCTATACCCTTTTGACAACATGCCTTAGTGAATAAACAGTTGAATGATAAGGAGCGTGTTGCCGCTGCTTTGGAGAACGCTGCCCTATTGGAGACACTAGAAAAGTGTCTAGAGCCTGTTGGAGGACCTAACAGCCGGTAGCAAGTATGAATTCCCTCGAGTGATGACACGACAAGATGTATCCATAGCTTTATCTTACAGGATTGTAGCGCCTTTGTTCTACTTCAGTGCAACTATTCTCAGAATATCAATTCTCTTGCTCCTTGTAAGTGATTTGTGATCGTGTTAGTACATTATATTCCTGTATGAGACTAATCGCGATTGTCCGTGACTAATCTTGCTAGCCCACATCGCACTTTTCATCGTGGTCCGTCACAAATTTATCGCAACAAATACCCACGACGACAACTGAATTGCGCACTACGAAAGACACGGAGAGCTTTTGGAGACCGACATGGCCAGCTATAGTTGTCACCTACCTCCGGATCTGAAGTGATGCCGATAATAGTTGGCAATGGTGGCATGCTGCGGACTGGACAAACAGCCCCCAAGATGGATGCGCATGAAACAACCATGCTAACGAAAGGGACATATGTTATTCACCGCTATCTTCGCGTAAATTTAACACGCTAGAGCAAGAGCGGTGCAAAAGAATCAGTACCAGGTCCCAATCGCAGTCAGCTATAAATTCATCTGCCACTGACAAGATCCGTACAGGATGATGATTGGCTTGCTCATGACGCGGCTTACCCACATTTATGACGTGGTGAGTTATGCCACGCCGACGCCGAACTGGATTCATATTTGCGGGTCAACCTTCACACGGCCAAAGCGACAACCACGGGTCACTGCACGGCGAGGATGTTTCTCCAGAGGTGTAATGTGCCTTGCGAAAAAAAAAAACATACCCGGGAAACCCTTTACGATGTAGGTCGGTCAGGGTTAACCTGACCGAGTTCATCCCGTCACAGGACGCCTTTGTCTGAGCAGGCATAAACTGTCGAAAGCCTTGGCCAGGCCACCAGACATCTTCCCACCAGAATCTCCGTCACTGCAACGGATGATGGCGAGTAGAATTAGGTAATGCTCGAGGACTCCTGCCGTTCAGATATTTGATCACAAGAATCCCGAGAGCGCCGCCAGGGGTTTCCGACAACTCGACTTCGAACACGGACATGATCAACAGAGGTAACCGAGCACTTTAATGAGTCACATTAACGCTTCAAATTTCAGCCAGTGGCAGGCTGCCTTCAGGCTGATATGCCTTCGCAAGCGAACACGTAACGCGTTGGATCAGCTTTTCCTTGAAAAGACAACAGGTGGATTAATGGGCTAGCCTTCCGACCACCATTCTTAGTCACAACCATGTACTCCATGCGTCTACAAAAGTACATTCGACTACGTTCAAGGGGGTGGCTAATTTTAATCAAAACTAGTACAAGGCAAGTACCGCATCAATGTTATTGTGCGTAAGGCCATGTGATTATCTTACCGCCACCAGAACGTGTTCTAGTACCGGCGGCAAACCATTATGGATAGTCGCATTTCTCAAGCCGATAGCCAAATACTTTATACATCAAAAGTTGAATCGATTATAATGTTGCATGCGTACTAAAAGTCTGCCAGTTCGAAGAGAGAAACATATTGATACAGTGGTATTTGCGGTAAGGTATAAAATTTTGGCTACATTTGTCCTGAGTGAATGGAAGCATGCTACATTGGGGATATAAAAGAGTGGTAACCTAAAGACCAATCCATTAACAGTCAGCGTGTAAGAAGTGTGTAGAATTCGAATGAAGTCAGAAACCGAAAAGAGCGACGAAATAATCAACATGACCCAACTCTCAATCCTCAAGAAGAAAATCCCAATTAAAATTCCTCTGCGGTAATTTCTTAGAACTCGAACCAAAAATGCGTTTCAACGTTTCTTTGGGCTGGCTTTCTGGAGCGTTTGTGTGAACATCCCACATCCTGAACGTCACCAGGCCGCAGGTATCGACCCATACTTCGTCACCATCCCAATTGTCATCCATTGACATTGCTTCATTCACGCGGACATTTGCAATCATGCGGTTGACAAAACCAGCTGAGAAAGATGGCGTGCCCGAGCAACGAATGTGACCTCGAAAATCCGAGGGCAACCAAACGGTCACGTTGGAAGCGGTAGTTCGGATATCAAGGAAAAATTTGCAACGAGGTATGGCACGGCACTGTGATTGTGAAAAGATGTTGAGACATGGTGCAGCAAGTGAAGAGGTGACACTTACAACTTTGAGCTTGATCGGTGACGTCTCGGTACTGATAAACATGGCCAAACGATGATCTACTGGCTGATTGCGCGCACGATAGTGTGGTAGCGCCAGAGAGATATCGATGGGCTTTGATGTCTTGAGCATAAAATCATAGTCGCTTAGAGCGTTGTAGTGAATCTTATGGGTACCAGATGGCTGTACCCTCTGTGTAATGAATCAGCTACTTGCACGTGAATAAAGCGAGGATTGCGATGTACCAATAAACGAGTCTTTTCGAGTGATAATGAACTCTAAGGGAGACCTCAGCTGGATTTTACACTATTTAGAAGGATGAAACTGACCTCCGAGTCGGATCCCATTGAACAATTCGAATAAATTGACATGGCGCACGAGCCAGATCAGTAAGGAACGAAAAAACCAAATGCGAGGGGGGGACAAGGATACGAAGTAAGTGTCGACTCCCAAGGCTCTGCATATTTAAGGGTTTGGGAAGGCGGTCACCTATACGTCACCGAGACGGAGTCGTGAACCCAGGAATCGTTTCCCTTATGCCTTATTTGGGTAGTCTTGTATTCGTAAACAAAAAGCGCGCTTGAAATCTTGATTCTTAGCTTGGCCACCCGAAGGCGAGAACAATTCTGCCTACTTCGGTTCGACAATGTAGTCCGCGTGCCTCGCCCTTCGGGGAACACGTGGCCCATCACTCGCTAGATCTACCGTTCATGTTTCATGTTGGACATATCGGACACAGCGCTAAACATGCACTAGTGCACTACCAATAGCATCTACCTGCAGCGCCCAAAGCTCAGTCCAGAACCCACCCGCAGTTCCAAAATCTTTCGCATGCCACGATCCATCCGAGTCCAAACCCTATCATTGACATCACACTCCGTTCTCAGCATTAACTCGATCTTTCCCTCGGCATGAATGAAAATTTCATCGTCATTTTCAAGCGCACAGGACCCAAGCCTGATAAATCCCCGGCGCATTCCCTCATTGAAGGCACGACCACAACGAATCTGCCTCCGACGACGTAGGCCCTCGTAGTCGTTGATAGAGACGATGCCCCGGAAAGTGGGGGGTAATGTGATTTTCACACCGGCTGAGCATGCGAAAATATGGAGGCGAAAGAAGTGATTATCTGCGCCGTGTGTACGAAACTAAAGAAGCCAAAATTACTAAATACACTCGTTTCATCATTGGTCGGTCACACAAGTGACCACCTGGTGGGAGGCACTTACAACTTCGGCCTTGATGGATCCAAATCGACTAGAAAGATATGCTACCGATTTGGCCAACGGAGCAGTATCAGATGGGAATGGTGAGAGCAAGATCAGCCTCGCTCGGATATCTTGATTGGTTGCTGACGTTTGGAACACAAATGGATCACCAAACACGGCGTCTTGCTTGCGGGGGAGAAACTGCTCGGTGACAAACACAGTGTTCTCTTCCTGAATCACAAGTCAGGTCATGCAATTGCGACACCTGGCATGTTCCATTCTAACTTACCTCTCTTGTGGTTGATGCCGACACAGCGCTTAAATTACTAAGAAGCTGTATAATATTCCGTTAGTTCCAGATTTCCTACCTGATGCTGAAATCGCTTACCGACAGCTGTGGGGTCAGCTTGCTCATGTTCCGAATAGTATCGTGGTACCGTACGGGTCCATCAGATTTATATACAGTACTTTGCCACTCAGGCTCATCTCACCGTTAGACAAAGCACTTAGATTGTGCAGTACTATTGACCGATCGCCACTGGGACAAAGGCTACAGTGGCACTGGCGCTTAGCGGGGCTCTGCAACAATACAAACGGGTGTTCTTGACACGTGTTGGAAAACTGCTCCATGAGGGTGGTCCACGGAGGTACCTTGTTTTGAACTACACACACCACCCACGAAACTGAGTGAACCACTTGAACGGGGCTAGGTTGTGTACCCAAATCCGAGGGTCAAAAAAAGGAAATCGACCCACACAGCTTCTGGACTAGCCGGCGGGAACGCAAGGGTGTCTTCACATCATGCTCTCGCTGCCGAACAGCATGACAAAACACAACGTACAATACATATCTGTAGTAGATTTTTAGATAGGGATAGTTGGCTTACGAAAGTGGTTGATCCTCTTCTTCAGAATCTGCGACTACGTCATCATCTTGAGAATGTTGCCACACGACTGTCGGACTAGATTCTTTTCTAGTCTTGCTATTCCGCGCTTCGGCAATTAGCCGTACAAACTCTCCTTGATTATTCAACTACGACTTGCGATAAGCATTCTCAGCAATGGAAGGAACGGAAGACCTACTACGTGAGTTGTCGTATTATCCACAAGATGTCTTCGCTTTCTGCTATCTTCCCAATTCTTTAATTCGATGCGTAATTCTTTCGTGTTCTTCCTGTTAGATACGGACTTATCCAAATTGGCATTGAAAATCATGACCCAGCTAGGATCCGTTGAGAACTGCAGAGTTAATTTGGAACCAAGAATCAACACACCGCTGATGTCGAGCAATCCACGTTTTCCTGTCACCGAGGATGGGTAAACTGTGAGCGTGCAACAAATCTTTGACTTGTTTGTCCTTCAATAGATCGTACGACGCCTTGGGTATGCGCTCCGTTGCACTGTTCGCATCAATCCTGCCTCCACGTTCCTGTCAGTTCGTTATGATCAGAAATAAACTGACGCTTACCCGTTGTCTCTGTTCTTTCCCTTTTTTAAAAATAACTTTGTCCATTCATCTTTGGCGCCTGATATCGCAGCACCGGGTGTATTAAATGATTTTTTCTGGCATCCCGAGTCTAAATGAGTATTGATATCCCCCATGACAATAGACACGTTGCAGACGGGACAGTTTACCATCTGACCCCCTGTGTACGAATTAAGCATTGCTGTGCTATAATATAATAGGATGCCCAAACCTTGCACCATCTCTTCCTCTTGGGGATCCGATGAAGGCTCCATGTCTTGCCTTCTCGAGCGCTTGGACTTACTTGGCACCGGGGATGAGGGAAACTGGCTTGAATTAGAAGGACCCGGAACCATGACGACATCCGAATCGGAAGACACTGAACTGGTACTTCGCTGGCGCTTCTTACCGTTGATCAACGGGGTTTGGGACCGACGGGGTGTTCGCTCTTTTTGCCTCCTTCTGGTGCGGTCTTGTTCTTCACGAGAGAGCCTAAGGATAGTTGACCTGTACTTGTTCAAACTGCATCTGTGCAAGAGAGGGTGCAAGACTCACCGTGCAGTTTTCCATGCGCTCACTGCTGCCTCAAGAACTGGATTTGTCCTAAATTGACTTTCACTCGTCGACTTCCTACAGCTTGGGCACTCCGATTCTTTGACAATGTGTTCTCGAATACACTACCAGTAACATTCAGATGGCAGTATGAGAAAGGGGTGAAACACCCACGAGTGAGCAGAAGCAGTGCCCACAGGCAAGCGTTATGGGTGCATCGTACAATTCGCCGCAAATTGTGCATCGCAGACTCGCATCCAGTTGTCGTAAGTCTGTCATAGGGAAATCACTCGGATCCGGGATATTTGTGGAAAGGAGAGCTTGAACGTTATTCGTGGGCATGAAGATCGGTTGGACGAGAGAGTTTGAACTTTGTCGCAGAAAAAATATCTCAAGAATAGAAGGATGCTAAAATTTAAAGAACTCGTCCAAATGTTCCAAAGAGAAAGAGGTTTGACAACTACAAGCGCGTTGTGGTCGCGTAATCCCACATGTGACCTGTGTGACTTTTCGCGTTTTGACGTCACGTACTTACTGCACCGACAATAACTACGAAATACGAATGTCTGATACACTACTCTACATGCAAATTGGGTGGGTATATAGAAGTACAATTTAAATCCGCGAATGATTCCAGTGAGTCAGAAAATGCCTTCAAAATCGTACATCTCTTTTCCATCGTCGGGTGAAGCAACATTCCGAAGGAGTGGGTCAAGAGACGTTAACTCATCCTTGATTCCGTTTCGAGCGACTTCGTCTAACTCCTTCAATAATGCTGACGTGATTTTCTGTGGTGTTTTGTTTTCAACATCCGTATTTCCATGTCATCCTGAATTTATTACCTTGAATTTCGCGTCCACTTTTAGGAGCATATCTCCCATCCCGGGCGTCCAGCTAGGCGGTGGGCTTCCAAGGGCACCACCGTAACCACCGTGTACGTTTGCAATACCCCACAGACTAGAGTCACCGTCATCCGTTTGCTTCACATTGGAGTCGGCGCCAGAGAATAGATACGAAACACCAGGATGTGGCGCGAGAAGCCCGAGAGGTCCCATCATGTGTTGCCCAGAGTTTGGAAATGGTGAGGGGCCCAGTATTCGCGATATTTTATTGTATACTTCCGAAATGACATCCAGGAGGGAGAGAAGGGTCTGGTGATAGTCTAAAGGAAATGGCTGTGAACGTTTCAGTTCATGATTGAAACACTATCAAATCCGCAGGGAACGCACTATATGAGGTGAAACAAGGTATGATGTTTCCGATCCGTCCGCATATGGTACAGTATATTCAGCGAAGCCGCCACCAGCTTGCCGTTTTGCTACTTTAGACCGGAACAACCGCTGGACCCACAGTAAGTGGTGAACGACCCATGGTTATCAGATAAAAGCTTACGATCTTTGGCTGACGGTCGGGCTCCTCCCTTGCCTGGTCATATTCGTTCATGGTATTCATTAGCCCGCGAAGAAAGTCTTGAACTTGAGGTATATCTAACAAATTTGAGAGCGACATTGCAAGGATAGCAAATCGATATGTCCTGTTTGATGATACCTCAGCAAAGTCGCTATAAGTAATGGATCCGGGGCTCGCCGCACCGTTTGCGCATAACTAAGTTATTGAATGCTTTGTCGAGTTCGGTCCTGGACATCATGATTGTATGGAACCAATGACTTCTCCTGTGGGTATCCATGAGCTCTAGGAAGAAATACAAGGGCAGACCGAACACACCCTTCATGAACATTTCGCATGTAAGTTAATGTGATAATCCGTTTCTGCACCAAATCTCGGAGATATTCAACAGAGGTTCCCTGCGCGATGACCGGTGTGCCGGTGCCGACCAACGTAGCACTAGATGAAAGCGTATCAGAGTGAACAGACTGGCCATCCCATTCCCTGCCGGATGTAGAAATCGCAGTCGGTGTTGAAACTGTATAAGCGACGCTGGTAGCCGATGATATGCTGCCCACCGTTGCTGCATTGCCAGCGCCGTTCGTAGTCTTAAACGACGACAACAAGTTCTGCGCCGAGCTCTTCCTGCGCATGGTTGGACGAGATATTTCTGTCATTGGCGGACTGCTTGGCGGAAGCGCAGCCTGGAAAACAGCCGTCATCTCGTGAGTGTTGCAGCCGAAACGTTGATAACCCAATTTGGGTTATCGATTGCAACTTATACTTGGCAAGTTGCTTACTTTGCCCTACTACCACCATCTCTGCAATCGTTTGTGTCCTAGCTCTCGAACACCATGGATATTACTGCTATAGCAAAGAATTTCACCGAGTTCTACTACTCACAATTTGCACTAGGCCGGCTGAACCTGGCCCCTTTGTATGTAAGCACTTCGTGTATTTGCAACTTTTTGGTATTCAAACACTTTTTAACAACTTCTAGCGGCCGCACTCCATGATGACATGGGAGGGCAAACAGTTCCAGGGTGGAGCTAACATCGTACAACATCTGAACGTAAGTCTCATTGTATTGTAACACATATCGCTCACCGTTTTTTTCGTATGGTTCAGGAACTGCCTTTTGAAAAGGTTGCCCACAAGATCAGCACATTTGACGCGCAACCGTCATCCCTCGATATGAGTACTCTCTTGATTAGCGTGACAGGGCTACTAAGGGTTCGTCTTTTTGTTGATCAATCGCGTGATCTGGCCACTGAACACGATATAGGTGGACGGAGACCAAGAGTTGCAATTCTCCCAGGTATTTGTGCTGGCAAAGGAGGGCGAATCATTCTACGTGTATGTTCATCAACCTGGTGCTGAGGCCTCGCTTAGAAATCATTTGCAGGCTGAATGACATGTTCCGGCTCAACCTCGGCTGAAGTGCTGAAGCACAGCATATTATAAATCTGGTAGATGAGACGAAGATCCCCGGAAGTGTAATGGAGGACGGAAGCTTCTAACGTTTGTACCTCGTAGCTTATTCCATCGAAAGTAGATCAGACTGTTAGTTTTGGAAAGATCGTCATATCGAACAACTCCGGGGAGGATCAGCAGGACAAGCACGCTAAACCGATCAATTTTACATAACGTTCAACTGGTGCTCACTGGCAATAAATGCCAAAAACCGTAACAATAGGAAGTATAAAGTCTAGCACCTGGTAGAACATATCGTGTAGAGGGTATTACATAATAGTAGTAGTCAGTCCATAAGCACAACAGCTGAGGTCATGCAAAGAACCTGCAAGAAACCTCCTCCATATTTCACGTGTCTAAACACCGGCAACGATCCTACACGGCAATTGATCAGTACAGTATCAAGTCTAATGTAAGAAGATTCCACATACTCTTCAGCCTTGTTCAATGCCGTAACCATACTAACAACCTCTTTCCTGCGATTGACGACGAAGTCACTCTCCTTCATCAAGTCATCGAGCACTTCAGGTTTATACAACTCTTGGAGAAGCTCGCGTTGCAAGTTCTCTTTCGAGTGGTTGACAAGCGTTAGCACAATAGCCTTTGGAACCATGTCGATCATTTCACGTTTGACAATGTTGAAATATGAATGGATCAGTAGCTCTGAATAGGGAGGTCAAATTAATTGTGCGACTGAAGAAACGCGTAAAGAGGACACACTGATAACTTCAGTCTCCATTGTTTCCCTCTCGCTGAGAGCGGACAGGGGTCTAATCACTGCTGGAGGCTAAGAAATGCGAAATTAAGATGCGATATATTCAGGTATATGAGAAAGACGTACCGCCTCCATGATGGGACCAGCCTTTTTAGGTTGCCCCTTCTTGGCAGACGAGAAGAATGAGCCAAAGAAACTCGGCTCCTCCTTCTTGATATCAACATCCAAGTCACGGTTGTTGTTGATTTGACCCGGGGGAAGCTTTCCTGACTTGGCGTCTGGAACTGGTGTCGGAGGCTTGTTGGCGTTCAGTCTATCTTGCACTATTGACATAGCCTGTGGAGGATGCATGAGCTCATGAAAGATCATCAAAGTCATGTGTACTTGCCCTGTGTCCGTTAAGGAAGTCGGGGTGAGTCGTGTTGACATAACATGCTTGCATCCTAGTCACCAAGTGCATAAGAATGTAGAAAAAAGATGAAATCTGCCGTTATGGACGCACGAAACCATGTCGGTTACAAGCTTCGTAGTGGGATTCATCGCAGTCTTGAAAAAATTAATTACAACGGAATTGAAGCGCTCCCGGAGCGCAGGGAAACGTCTGAAGGCTTGCTGTATGGTGCCGTTAGCGCTTTATTACGTTCATCAGTCGCGTGAATACGTACGATTTTCTGTAGCAGTTGTCCGAGAATGCGAATAAGTTCGTCATATACAAGCTGACAGCATTTAACACTCGGCTCTTCCAGTCGTTTGATCTGTTGCTTGACAATGATTTCAAAGGCTTGCGTGCCAACAAAGAGTGATGGTGTTTGACCCTGCATTGTGGAAAAGTTTAGTTCAACAGTTTCCGGTTACGCGGGTAACAAACCCACCGAAGAATTGTACAAGATAGTTCGGATATCCCCATCTTTGACCTGATCAAAGGGGTCGATACTCTTCACACCAGTATTGAACAACTCGTGGAAGACGAAGCTGATTCGTGCACCACCACTTAATTCATTCAGCGAGAGGTCGTTGGTGTTACCGTCGATGACCGTTCGGAATTCATTTGTGAACTCCGTAATGACCGAAAGGACTATGTTGCCGGAGGATGCATCACCCAAGGGACCGCCCAGGGTTGCCAGCTCGGCACTATATTTCTGAAGCTGCTGGCTTATACGGGCTTTGATGTCGGGCAAAGTGGCACGGATGTGTTGCATGAGAATCTAAGATGGGAGGAAGATGTTAGTGATAAATCTGCAGTGCGTGGAGAGCAATCGAGGTACACACCATGTTGAGCTTACGGGCAAGGAAAGGAGTCCCACAATACTGGGCTTTCCCTTTATATGAAGGGTGCAACTCAAAGAAGCTGCGCTCCGCGTCTAATGCAGCGCCAATTGTCTTGGATGTGTCGATGTCGCGTTGCCCTCGGTTTACCACTGGCACGTATCCCAAACGTAACGGAATGACGCGCCCTGCAAGGATGTCCACAACGTCCGTTCCTTGGTCCCTTTTGGCGCGTTAGTTTCAACAAATACACTGCTATAAAAGTATGGACCTACATAAGGTCGACCTTGGTCAAAACACCGATCGTTCTCGTTCCTTCTGGGTCAACCTCCCGAGCTAGCTTCAAACCATCGGAGTTCGCCAAGTCTGTATTGGCAGCGGTGACAGCCAAGACGATACATGCTGGCCGCGAGATATACTTGACCAGCATGTCCTTGATTTGCTTTTCAATGTCTTTTGGTTGGTCCCCGACAGGGACTTTGGTTAGACCGGGCAAGTCGAC